CCCACCCTAGCACCCGCAGCCTCGGGGCGAGCCCCGAGCGGAGCCCGCGCGCCAGGTCGCGGAAGTGGCCCGCGTTCGCCCGGCAGTGCGAGAAGGTGAGCACCTCCAGGGCCGGCCACAGACCGGCCGCCACCGCCCTGCCGGCCTTCGCGACGCCCGTGGCTCCGTCCACCAGGTGTACCCGTGCGAGCCGCGGGGCCACGCGGTGGCGCTTGGCAGAGAGGGGTACGAGCTCCCCGAGGATGGCGCCTACCCTGGAACGAACGCGTAGCAACAGTTGTCAACATAGGTTTTACGCATGTACGTACGTGCCAGAGCATAAACAAACGCGAAACGCGAATCAGAGCATGGCAGGAGCAGGGTGGACGAAAGAGAGAGAAACATCCGTGAATTTGAGCGACAAGTATTGGGTGCAACATATGAATGCGCCAAAACACAAACAAACGCGAAAATAGAAATAGAGGAGTGCACGAAAGAAGGAGGGAGGGAGAGAGAAAGACACAGAGAAAGAGAGAGAGAGAGAGAGAGAGAGAGAGAGAGAGAGAGAGAGAGAGAGAGAGAGAGAGAGAGAGAGAGAGAGAGAGAGAGAAAGACATGAATCTGAGCGACACATTTTTGCCTGGTTGTGTGCGCCTTGTGCCATGGCAGGCGTACCTGGCGCGTCCGTTCCATGTGGGGTACCGGCGGATGGCGATCTCGCGCAGGGTGGGTATTGAATGCTGCACGACCCTCCGGATGGCCTGTTCCAGAGCAGGGTCCTGGGCCTGCAAAGAAAAGGTGGCGCGTTTGCGCGGAGTGAGGGTTTGGGACGTCACAGTGGGGTATCGTGTGTTTGAGATATCGCCTCCGCCGAAGTTGTCGTTGCTATGTAGACCACTGTTTGTAGCCGAAGTGGCTGGATAATCAAACTACCAACGACGTGCATGAGCACTTTCGGTGCCTCTTCTTGTGCATCACAAGAGGTGGATCAAAGCTTCCAGGACAATCGGGTACGCGTGAGTGTGGAAGCGTCCTATGTAGAGCCATCACCAACGACTTGTACGCCGTAACGTGAGACAACAAATTCTACAAGGACATAGCAAGAGTGGGTTCTTTTATGCATACGTAGACACTTTGCGAGCTTGAAACCAGGCTGTATTACGGGACCAGCAGAGAGTCGCCGCCCAGCCGCCAGCGGAATATTCCTGGTGGCTTCGCGAACTACATACATACATACCTCTCTCCAATAGTAAGTAAGCTGCGACGCACAGTGTAAAATTGTAAATTGTGTCTACCACGTAGATCCCGCTGCCCTCGATACTTCGAACGGAGAAGGGCATTGTTATTGCTGTATTTACTGCCGTACTAAACTGCTGGTAATGACATGATACTAAGTATTTATATATGTACTCCATGCCCCACTAGCCAATTTCACAGGAGGAGCGCAGCACAATGACATACATGGAGCACGTGAGTGATCGTGATTCGGACGACAGCCCTGCCAGTAGCCAGAGCTCCAGAAGCATCAAGCCCCATGTGGTTTGTTAGCTCCGATCTCTTCAAGTAATGGGCGGAGGAGACCTTGTTCATGTCGATTTTGTAGTGCAGCTCGCGGATGGCTCCCAGAGTTGTCCTACAGACGCCGCTGAGGGAGCTGTCGGTCGTGAAGGAGACGATCTCCCTGAGGACAACGCCCGGCAGTACGTCAAGGTAGCGTCGTTCTCCTGCAGCGGCTGGTGAAGATGATGATGGTGATGATGATGGGGCTGCCTCGGCCACGGCTTGAGCTACAGCAGTGCCTGCTGCTGCCGTGGTGGTGGTGATGGTGGTGGTACCACCGCTGAGACGAATCTTCTTGTCGGCGGGGATCGAAGAAAGGACGTCGAGAGCGCGTGTGTTTGGCAACGAGGCGTAGTCCATGATGTTTTCTGGCACCTGCAGAAAATTCGAAAGAAGCAGGAGCGACAGAAAACGACCAAGCATCATGGTGTGAGGCTGTGACGCCTCTCTGTCTCCGATCGACGATGAGGATCTCCAACGTCTTATTGCGGAGGATCAATGTTCTGTCCTCCACTGACGATACTGGAACCACACAGAAGACAAGACCCGGCCTCCTGGAAGGGCCCTACCACTTGCCAACCAACACCACCACTCTAGGACTCGAATGGTACAGAACTCAGCCTCGGGAACCGCTGCCGTAGGCCGAGGAACAACAGGCAAACACCAAGCTCGCTGGCTATCAAACGACTTTCTATTCAAACATACATGGGCAACATCGTGTCGGTGTGCTCACCTTGATGTATGGCTTTCCCTGCTGTAGGTTGGTCTTTAGCTGGTACTTCCTCCCTGTAGCGGATGCGGAGGAGGTGAGTTTGTTGTGTGCAAGAGGGGCGAGTGCGTGCATGTGAGACAGAGGCGAAGGAAGCAGCAAAAGCAGTGTCGCGAATTCGCGAACGAATTCGCTTCAAATCTCGCCGCATTTTTCGGCTCCTCCCGACATTTGGTTCGAACTTCGAACTCCGGTCGCTTCAAATCTCGCCGCATTTTCGGCTCCTCCTTACATGACGTTAGAACTCACGCACATGGCTGCACTCACGCATGCACGCTGCACCCACAGGGCATGAGTGCCTTAACACTCCAGGAGTGCTGTCCAGGGAGAACTCAACTGACGTAGTGATCTCGGGGGATATGCGGGCGTGTGGTGCGGTACGTAGTTGGTACAGTAGTCTCGAGTCGCCGGCAGCATACCGACCGGTGCTACTACAGCAGTACGTCCTGCTCAATGTTTCAGAGCTGGGGCCTGGCTGGCATCTTGCATCTTCGCAACAGCGCGCTTCCTCGATCGCGATCAGCCCTGTGCGGGGCGCACCTGGGATTGGAGCATGATGTCGGTGCCCTGAATGCATATGCATCTTCCACAGCAGTAGGCATGCATACTTGTGGTGACGGATGTGGACGAGAGGGATAGAGTCCCGGGAGCGGCTGGTGGGGCCGACGCTGGATCACTGCAGAGTGAGAGGCGATGCCTTCCGTGTTGCATCGATTTCATAGACCAAAAACGGTTGGCAAGTTCTCCGCATGTATCGGTTGGTTGAACCCTCCTACTGTAGTGCCGGAAGCCAAAATAGGGACACCTTGGGGACACAGCACTCAGATGCCTGTTTACCGCACTGTAGCCGTCGTCACAATGCTCCGCTGGGTGAAACGCGTGTTGCAATCCTTGGTCTACCATGCTTGTGTGAGATGGTGCGGTATTTGATAGAGACTACCGTTGTATGATGCCTGTGTGCCTCTCCTCGGCCTCTGACTTGCTGTAACGTATCTCACAAGCCGCATGTCCCCTAGGTGGTAAAACCGTACAAGCCTGGTACTGGAAAACATGCTGACTTGCCATCAGTGTATCGAAAGTGTCCGCGGTGCATTAGACTGAGGGACACTTTTTCGTGCTGAAGCCGAGTCAGCCTTTGCCCCTCGGGGCTGTACAGCCTCTCCCAATGAGGAGACGCGAATTTGCTGGATCCATAGCCTTTAACTACAGTATCTGCGTACTATGATAGATAAGCAGTGAAAAGTCGTCGCGAGAGGGAGAGAAGGGTCAACCAAGCAAGAGGGTAAACTGCTGCTGTGTTGCTGCCTTTTTTTAGGAAACCAGTTGCTAAATGCTTTCGTTTGGGTAAACGACACAACAGGGTATACCATGGTGGAAAAGCGACTCAGCTGGGTACATACTGATTCAACAGCGTGAAACGAACCCAGATGATTGGTCAAGGCCCACTTTTACCATGCCGCGTCCTAAAAAGGGTGGGGTATACCCTGCCGTGGCTACTTTTCTCCAGAAGTGTAGCCTGATTTTGGAAAAGTACGTTTGACCTGACGGGAAATCCCTTTCATCCCCATTTCCTTCGCGGGGATCATTTTCCCAAACCTTTTCCCCTCCAACCTGGAGTACCAACCATCAACTCTTCCCGACCAAAGAAAATCATGTCTGGCTGGCTGGCAAACGCCAGCATATACATAGTTCCGTTTGGAAATGTGCGGGGTGTCACGTACGTATACGTATTTGCTTAGATAGTCCATTTTGTGATGAGGTGTGCTTGGTGTACGATGACGATAGTACACGGGTAGCTTTGTGCGCCGCTCTTTTCACCGAAGCTCCTTCGGCGCCACTCCCTCCTTCCTCATGATTGATTATGGCGGCGTGTGCGTGCGTGCGTGCGTGCATGCGTGCGTGCGTGCGTGTCGTGTGTCTTTATTATTGTTGTGGTTGTGTCTCGATTGTGGTGTGTGCGTCTCGCTTGAATCGTTAGTATCGATCGCGCCTACCAGCCGACCAGTGAAAAAGACGTCGGTCTTTATTGCGATAAAAAACAAATGCGGACACTCTGTCTACCGACAGGGAGGAGTTGGAAAACAGGAGTTGGAAAACACAGCATGCCCTGCTTCTGGAGAAGAAGACTAGATGTGTCTGTGTCCTTCCTGCTCTCTCTGCGGCCACGGGCTTGCCGCCACCACACCACTGCCCATCGGCACATGCATGCATCTCAACCATGCTGGATCAGTCTCGCGATCTAAGCGCGACCCGTATCTTGCATATAGTAGATGCTTGCATTAGTAGATGCTACATGCATAGTTGTGAGTTGCTTTCCAAACGGAATTGTACTGGCATACCCCCCCCCCGCAATAATACTGGTACCTACGTGTGTTATTTCACCGTGCATCCTTGGGAGTATTAACAAGTCCTGGAATCATATCTCGAAAGAGTCCTATCCGCGATCCGCGAGGGATTTTCAATTGTTCTCCTGCATCTTCTCGGTGCTGTTCCGAAACAAACGTGACGTCCTCGATGGGCTGCGCGCACATGAAGACGCTCACACCCCGTTACCTGCAGGGTTTGGTTCGCCCTGCTTGTCCACGCCCGCTCGTTTTGTCCGTTGAGTGCTTCCATAGCTTTGATTTTCACGATGTTTTGGGTTGTAGGCTCATGATTGTTTCGGACTTCTGCGCCGCTGGCAACTACTACAGTTTGGACTTGACCTGGGTCGACGTTTGCCGATTTCTCAGGCCCACTACGATCGCTGCAGCGGCGATCCAAAAGTTTGCATGTGATCAAATTTGTTCTCTATGGTCTGTTTTTATCTATAGCATGGTGCATGCCGTGTCGAATTGGGAGACCATGGCAGTCAGCCCACCTTGCGTGAAAGGCGCTTCCCAAGATCTGTAACTTACGTGCAGCAGCAGCAAACGGCTTCTGTTCAAGTGTTATCGTCAGGCGTTTCTCCCGTGCAAAACCAAGGGATAAAAGGATAAAGCCAGCTTCCCGGTGGAGGGTATTACTTGCCTGAGGCGCCCGTCTAATTTTGTGGCACTTCAGACCATGTTCTAACAGGAGCTGTGCACCCAGAGTTGTCATCCAGACCATGAGGTAGACCGGATACATCCACAGAACCCTCGGTTTGGTTGGGTGAAATGATGATAAGCCCCCTTATTAGGAAATGCACATGTCATGACTGAAAGACTACCCGTTCGAGATACACGTAGTACCACGGCTATATTTGTCGAAGGGAATATGTTGAAGGTTTGCATATCCTGCTGGATACGGCTCATGTCTTGAATCTGTTGAAGCCTTTACAGTGACGGATCAAGGATGCCAGCTGGTGTTAATAAAAAAAACACATCGTCGTATACTAATTAGATAAATAGATAGGGCGGAAAATCAGCCGCGGGGTATGACTCAATATATTGCAGTAGTCTATCTGCAATGCTGTGCGTTGTAAATAACACTTACTGCGGCATAGTTGTGTTGTTGTCGGATTTTCGTACTAAAAGGACAAACGCAAGAGACGATTTGCAAAAATCATGACCAACTCTTGCGGTGTAGACGATCATTTGTTGTGCCGATCCGAGTCATCGGCCGACAAACCAACCCTCATGCATAGGCTGTTGGGAACCTTACGCATACGCATCATACATGTGTAATATGTACCCTGCCACCGATTTGGTGTCTCGATGATTTATCTGCACAAAGTGAAGCAGCAGCAAGTGTAAAGCTATCCCCTTCGAGCAATGTAAATGCTGCGTCATGTGTAGCACCTGATACAGACGGCGGGGCGATGGGAGACACGGAAACTGGGGTGGCGAGAGTCGACAACATGCGCGGGAAAGCCCTACCGAATTTTGCATTGTTTCCCGTGTCACGCGTTTGGTTTCCCGGTTATCCCTCCCCGCCCACTGAAGCAGCAACAATGACAAAGGTATCCGCCACGAGCTGTGTGTTGTTCTTGCTCCTCCTAGCGGTGTTGGGTGTTGAACTGAGTGTTACCTCCTGCTCTCCTGGCTTGAATTGTGTGTGTGGGATCTCCGCTTTGTGTTTCCCCCCTTTTATTTTGACAACTCCCGGTGTTAGGAGCCTCCTACCGATTCTGTCGGGACAAACGCCCGTGTAGCAAGCAAACCCCAAGTGAATTCTTTGTGGAAGACTATTTTTTAAGGCTGTCCTTTGGTGAACAGTATGCAATGCGACTTTATCAGGTATTGGCTTAAACCGGGAAAAACGTTGGCATCGTGCGCACTCGTGAGATTGCGCAGCAGCAGGAGTATCGTGCTCGCCCCAAACCGCTTAGTGTACCACTATCAACTTCCTCGACCTCCACAGTAAGCAGGAGTCTTTTTTACGCGTCCAAAATCCTGCTTACCTCCCTCTCTCCCGGAAACTATCACAGCTGAACACGCGGGGTACCTTGCACGAACAACCAACCGCACCCCCTGACTTAGCTTGTGTGGGATAGTTCTCGATATCCCTTACTGCTGTAGGTGTTTGTGAACTCTGTTTTCGCCTCATCCCGGAAGAAAGAGAACGTTCCGCGGTCCGTGCTCTGTAGAGCTCATTCCATTACCTTCTAACGCGTGTTTCCCCCCCATCTGCTGGGTGTGCCCAGCTTTGCAACTGGCAGGTGTGCCACGGTCTCAAGAAGCTACCGGGGGAAAACCTCCTGCCATTCTCAAGCCCACACGTGGTCGCCCTAAACGCGAAAGGATATCGTTGTTCTCTCTGCCATTCTAGGGTGAGAACGGGAACAGATGCCCCAATCCTCCTACTGGAAGGGCGGCAAAGTTGCTGAGGTCTGCCATAAGCACAGGGCCGACGGCATGGTGAATTTCAGCAAGAGACGCCCTCGGAGTATCTGCTCACACGACGGCTGTGCTAGGAAACCTTCAACGTGGAAGGCAGCAAGGTGGGCAAGTTCTGCAAAAGTCATGCGTCGGAAGACATGGTGAACGTCGTTAGCAAGCGCTGCCTATCCTTCAAAGGCCGCAACACACGACCTGTGTTCAACGTGAAGGGCAGCAAGGTGGGCAAGTTCCGCAAAAGGCATGCGTCGGAAGACACGGTGAACGTCGTTAGCAAGCGCTGCTGATCCTGCAAAGGCCGCAACACACGACCTGTGTTCAACGTGAAAGGCAGCAAGGTGGGCAAGTTCTGCAAAAGGCATGCGTCGGAAGACACGGTGAACGTGGTTCCTCGGCACTGCATGCATGACGGTTGCGCCCAGAAACTCTGCTACAACGTGGAAGGCAGCAAGAGGCCGGAGGTCTGCGAGGAACATGCTGCCGATCAAATGGTGGAATACAGCGTGAAGAACTGCGCCCACCGCGACTGCTACAAGCGCCCACGGTGGGGTATGCCGGCGGACGGTATACCCACGGTCTGCACTTTCCACAGGGAAGATCGCCCCGACGCCACGACCTTCTACGCAAGGGAATGCGCAGAAGAGGGGTGCAGAAAACCATCAAGGTGGGGACCGCCCAACGAACACCCCACCCATTGCCCCAAGCACGGCCGCGGAAAACCGGAGTTTGTGGGTGTATCACGTAGAAAAGGCGGGAAAGCTCGATTGACCATGCCTTTCCTGCAGAAAGAGCCTTACCGATAGTAAATAATGTTAAATGTTGACAGTTTTATCATGGATGAAAACCACGAGGGCTCGTACCCATGGGTGGAGTCCTTTGCTTCTGGCCTTAGTTTTTTTTCCCAATGCGCTCTCGTGTCCTGGCCTTGTGTAAACCGTGAACCAAAGGGGATGTGAGGCAAAGAGAGCGCGCACGCTGCCATTACTCTGGGCGTTCCATCCTTCCCCCGATGTAAATGATGGCAAACGAGCTAGATGAGTATACTTGCGTTGAGAGCAGCAGAACCACCTGTTGAGAACACCTCCCGCACCGCACCGTACAGAAAGGGGGGCTAGTGCGGCAGTCTTCCAGCGTAACTGGTTCCTCGGGCGTGTCCTCAACGATGTTGGTGTTGCTAGAGTTTGACGCCGACCTCCAGTGACCGAACGGACGGGTCAGCCCATGTAAACACTGAACCTTTGTCTTATTTGGTATGGGGGGTGTTGCGTTTACGGGTGTTCCAGATTGGTGCTGGTGTGATGAGTGCGCTGGATATTGTGGCGGGTATTGCAAACAAAGAAAGGAGTGAAAATCGAGCGCCGTGTCGTACCAAAAGGATTCAGCGAGGGAGGGGTGTTATGTATCGGTGTACATGTACAAGGACAGATTTATTTGCGTGTTCGGGACCAGCACCGCGACTGACGTTCGTTTCACTCGGAGTTCTTCAGGCGACAACCGTCCCCCCGCGACAGCGATCAGAAAATGCAAGAAAGTACACATGCCACACTTCCAGGGACAGCAGCCAGCTGTGGTCTGTCGTGGTTAGCTTCGTACAGACAAAGTTTTCTGCGTTGTGATTGGCGCGAATATTTTTACTGTTCTTCCCTCCTTTCAGATGTCTCACGGTTTGCTGCATGCACGTATAGTATCAGTCGGGTCCGACGCAAACAGTGCAACTTGAGAAGTTGTCTAGTCGTTGCACGATACTGTATCACAGAAAGCCCTTCCGTACCTTGTTTTCGTGGTGGGTTGATTTCTGTTTAGCAGCGAAAACCCGTCTCAAGCGGCCGGCGTACCGATCTTATCCCCCTCGCACACGTCACATACATACGCCCCACAGGCGTTTCGAGGACAACACGATCAGTTGCTGCCCAGATTCAGCGCATCACATACGTACATGTTTCGTCTCAATGGCATATTTCGTCGGATCTAGACGAATCTATTTAATTGCGATGCCCCCGGTCTTCGAAAAGTGGTTCAAATGGATCGTCCGTCCCTCGGGGGTAATCCTGTCATATGACTTCACTGATCACCTTGGGGCTGCGTGGAACCATCCCGACCACGGGTGGGTACAGGTTGTTGCTGCTTTCCGTAGTTTTCGCCTTGATAATGCTCCGCTCCTATCGCCTTGTATGTATACCATAGACGGGAACCCAACACAAACAAGGCCCCAAGTACAACACTGAACAGGATGGCACTTGAAATCGTAATATAACCTGAATATTGCCATAACGTTAACACACAACTTCTGATACATAGCGCTAGATAAACCTCGTAACGCACCACCATCACATGGCTACCTCCGAATACCATGCAAAACACGGGCCCGCAGTCGAGAAATATTTAGTTAGGGAACAAAGGCTCAATTTTTCACGCTAAACTCTCTACTCTAGACTATAACAACCTATGCTCAACAGTGGCGACGAATTAAGAAGAAAACTGACAACCCGGTGTTGACGTTTCTTAACAATAGGCCTGTTCTGGAACACGAGTCACAGCTACCTCGACGGCTACTACGTAGTACGCAATAGGGCCAATCGAGCTGTCCAAAATGCAGCTTCATGAAGACAGGTTCGAGAAGAAGCACGAAACACTGAGCTCTCTGGGAAAAACGCAACATTGACCCGGAGTAGACACCAACAACCCGAAGATGTACGAACAACCAACAGAATGTCCACATGTACATAAAGATAGACCAGATAGGTTAGATAGATGCAACCTAGAATGTGGCCTCCCACCAATAACAAGCGAGACGGCGATGCATCTTCAGATAAACATATTTACTTGGACTTGAACGACTCAATCATATATATCTATATCCAGAGCGAACTTATCCGTTCTGCAACCACCTTGCGCTCGTCCATTGGGACCTAGAGCAAAGTAAAACCGAAATGTACAGCAGTATCGACAAGAGCTTTGTTCGTCACACCCCCCGAAACTATCCCGTTCAATCTGGACAGGCGCTTTGACAAAGGCTTCGACAACTCTCACAAGTAACCAAAACCAAAATCTGCCTTCCCAATCTTCGGAGGGAAATCGAAAGGACGCCACATATTCATCCGCCCGTTCCTTCTTGAAAACAGAAACAATACCCTCTATATTTCCCTTATATTGTTTTTAAACTCTACCAGTACCGATTTTGATACACATATATACCGACGTACTGTCACAACCAACAGTAGACACACATATCATATCTGTGTCGCGAAGCTCACTGCAAAACCGACTGTACCAGTGAGGCCACATGGAATTGCCTCGACGCGAAATAATCCTGCTGCGCGCAACTCCTAGTGGGAGGTTTTGCTACGCGAAAGAAATGCGTACTACAACGTAGGGGAGGATGTTACACAGAGAGCAATAAGGCACAGTTGTGTCACTAGCAACCACTTATTTCTGTTATTGTTTCAGTAGCGTCTTGATCTGTAACTCGAGCTCCACGGGAGGGCTCCTCGAAGCCGCGGCCCGCTTCAGCGCCAGCAGCTCCACGTCGCTGTCACGGTAGTAGCGCGCCGTTGCCCTAACGAGAAGCCGCTCCAACCGTGGCACGTGCCCTCCTGCCAGGGCGCCCGCCAGGACGCTCAGCTGATGGTGAGGCGTGCGGCTGCAGTCCATGCGCAGCTCTCGCAAGCGAGGGCAGACCCACAACATCTCCTCCAGGTATCTGATTCTGTGCTCCGGGCAGAAACGGTTTCCCGTGAAGCTGAGGCGTTCCACGAGTGGGCACTGCCCCCAGGACAGCGCGCCGAGGATGACGTCATCGACCGCGACGTCCCTGACGCTGGACTGGTCGTCCCACCCTAGCACCCGCAGCCTCGGGGCGAGCCCCGAGCGGAGCCCGCGCGCCAGGTCGCGGAAGTGGCCCGCGTTCGCCCGGCAGTGCGAGAAGGTGAGCACTTCCAGGGCCGGCCACAGACCGGCTGCCACCGCCCTGCCGGCCTTCGCGACGCCCGTGGCTCCGTCCACCAGGTGTACCCGTGCGAGCCGCGGGGCCACGCGGTGGCGCTTGGCAGAGAGGGGCACGAGCTCCCCGAGGATGGCGCCTACCCTGGAACGAACGCGTAGCAACAGTTGTCAACATAGGTTTTACGCATGTACGTACGTGCCAGAGCATAAACAAACGCGAAACGCGGATCAGAGCACGGCAGGAGCAGGGTGGACGAAAGATAGAGAAACATCCGTGAATTTGAGCGACAAGTATTGGGTGCAACATATGAATGCGCCAAAACACAAACAAACGCGAAAATAGAAATAGAGGAGTGCACGAAAGAAGGAGGGAGGGAGAGAGAGAGAGAGAGAGAGAGAGAGAGAGAGAGAAAGACATGAATCTGAGCGACACATTTTTGCCTGGTTGCGTTCGCCTTGCGCCATGAGAGGCGTACCTGGCGCGTCCGGTCCATGTGGGGTACCCGCGGATGGCGATCTCGCGCAGGGTGGGAATTGAATGCTGCACGACCCTCCTGATGGCCTGTTCCAGAGCAGGGTCCTGGAACTGCAAAGAAAAAATGGCGCATTTGTGGAGAGTGAGGGTTTGAGTCCTCGAAGTCGAGTGTCGCGGGTTTGAGATATCACCGCCGCTGAATTGTTTGCTTTATAGACCACTGCATGTAGCCGAAGTGGCTGGATAATCAAACTACCAACGACGTGCATGAGCACTTTCAGTTCCTCTTCTTGTGCAACACAAGAGGTGGACTAAAAGGAAGAGCGGTTACGCATAGATGTGGAAGTGTCCTATGTAAAACCATCACGAACGACTTGTGCGCCACAACGGGAGACAATGCATATAACAAACATAGCAAAGCGTGTCCTAATATGCATACATAAACGCTTTGTGAGCTTGAATCAGGCTGTTTTTCGGGACCAGCAGAGAGTCCTAGCGGCTGCGCGAACTACACACCTATCTCCAATAGCAAGTCAGCGCAGCACATTGTAAAATTGTAAATTGTGCCTACAACACAAATTCCGCTGCCCTCGATACTTCGAACGGGGGAAGAACGTTGTTTATTGCTGTATTTACTGCTATTAACTCCGTGGAATATGTACTCCATGCCCCACTAGGCAATTTCACTGGAGGAACGCATCACAATGACACATACATGGTGCACGTAAGTGATCGTGATGCGGACGACAGCCCTGCCAGTAGCCAGAGCTCCAGAAGCGTCAAGTCCCATGTGGTTTGTTAGCTCCGCTCCCGTAGGGTCTTCGCTGGGGCTATAGTCTAATAATACTTCTCGGCAGTCGATCATGTCGATTTTGTAGTGCAGCTCGCGAATGGCTCCCAGAGTTGTCCTACAGACGCCGCTGAGGGAGCTATCGGTTGTGAAGGAGACGATCTCCCTGAGGACAACGCCCGGCAGTACGTCAAGGTGGTGTCGTTCTGCTGCAGCGGCTGGTGAAGATGATGATGATGATGATGATGGGGCTGCCTCGGCCACGGCTTGAGCTACAGCAGTGCCTGCTGCTGCCGTGGTGATGGTGGTGGTGGTACCACCGCTGAGACGAATCTTCTTGTCGGCGGGGATCGAAGAAAGGACATCGAGAGCGCGTTTGTCTGGCAACGAGGCGTAGTCCATGATGTTTCCTGGTACCTGCAGGAAATCCAAAGGGGAGCAGGAGCGATAGACAACAACGAGTGTCATGTGCTGTGTGTGAGGCTGTGACGCCTCTCTGTCTCCGATCGATGATGAGGATCTCCAACGTCTTATTGCGGAGGATCAATGTTCTGTCCTCCACTGACGATACTGGAACCACACAGAAGACAAGACCCGGGCTCCTGGAAGGACTCTACTACTTGCCAACCAACACCACCACTCTAGGACTCGTATCGTACAGGATTCAACATCGGGAACCGCTGCCGTAGACCGAGGAACAACAGGAAAACACCAAGATCGCTGGCTATCAAGCGACCTTTCAAACAGTGGCAACATCGCTGTCGGTGTGCTCACCTTGATGTATGGCTTTCCCTGCTGTAGGTTCGTCTTGAGCTGGTACTTCCTTCCTGTAGCGGACGCGGAGGAGGTGAGTTTGTTGTGTGCAAGAGGGGCGAGTGCGTGTATGTGAGACAGAGGTGAAGGAAGCAGCAACAGCAGTGTCGCGAATTCGCGAACGGATTCGCTTCAAATCTCGCCGCATTTTTCGGCTCCTCCTGACATGTGGTTCGAACTTCGAACTCAAGTCGCTTCAAATCTCGCCGCATTTTCGGCTCCTCCTGATGATATCTACCTGCTCGTCGCTCCCTGCTCGTCGCCCCTCGCCGACGCTCACACGAACACGACACGCAGCACGACCATCTCTACAGCACCAGCAATTGCACATATTTTCGACGTTTACACTACGTAGGAGCTTCGCTTGAAGAGAGCGAAGAAGCATCGACCGGAACCGCACGTCTTCTCAAAACTGCTCCAAAATGGGCAAGGCCTTTGCCAAGATGACCACGGCTTGTCCTCAGCAGGTCTGTTCCTCTGTGTTTGATGCATTTGGACGAAGCGTTGATGCCAAAAGTCCCAAGCTTCTCTCGAGAAGAGAAAAAGAAAGGAATGGTGGGATGAGCGGCGTAATCCTCTGTGTTGCTAAAATGTAGGAGCGATCCCGTTCCGTGCTTTCACGTCGAGACCCGGTCGCTGGTTTCGTGTCACGATGCGTAGTTTGTCTTTTAGTAGCTGGGCTAGCAACAATTGGGTGTCCCTCGTTCTGTTTCAAACCCCTCCGTAGAGCGACACTTTCGCAGCGAGGTGCACAACGTTGTATCCTCTCTCTCGTCGCCGCGTAGCCCACATCATACATACGAGTAGGTGCCTACTGACATCATGAAATCTACGTACCCTCGATACACTCAGAAACCCAACGAGAAATATCTGCTGTAAATTTACTACTGTAGCAGGGATGGGCGGCGGGATACCGCACACACACCATGGTTCTCTGAATGTGCAATTTCCTTTTTCTTTGTGTGTGGTATTTTGTGTTTTGGCGACTTTGCTGACAAGTCGGTTTCACGTAGCAAAACTCGAGCAGTACTCTGTTTCTGGCCACACGCCTCGTCAGGGTACAGGGGGGTGGCGAACAAAAGCAGCAGATTGATGCAGCGCTGCCATTGTATCTTGTACCGTCACGCTGCGGTGGCTTTTGCTGTCATCATCGGCACCGCCATCGCAGCCCCGTCTCGACCACTTCGCCACGCCCTTCCCTGGACGGCGGAGCGTGATGCTGCCGCGGCCACCGCTGTCGCCGTCTGCGGCGCCAGGACAGCCGGCGTCGGCTTGTGCCCCGCCGCTAGCATTCCAACGGCGGCGCGCTGTTGATGCGGTGGCGTGGTTGTTGCCGCTGCCCCGGTGTCGAAATTCACCGATGCTCGCGTCTTGTTGCTGTTCTTGTGCGCGTGCTCCGCCGTCGGCGCTTGCTGCTGCTGCCGCGGTTGTTGTGCGGCCGCAGCGGTGGCGTCTTTGTGCACCCAGCCGGTGTTGGTATCCTCGGCGAAAGCACCGGCCGGCGAAGAATAGGGTTCCTGCTGGTGGATTCCGCTTTCCCTTGCGTCCGTTGGGCCGAGCGCCTCCTTGAGCTTGTCTCGGTACTCCGACCTCACGTTGCTGGCGATGGTATCCTGTGATGGCACACGATTTCGTGGAGGTGTTTCATTGAGATGAATGGATCCGGCTTCTGACCCACCCCCCTCGCTCTCTCCAGAACAGAGGATACATTTGAAACCGACTAAAATGCCAACACACCGAAAGAGGGAAAAGGCTCACGTTGTACGACCGAAACCAACTGCCCCAGAGAGCACGTGCGGGCCGTTATAGAGTCTCTGACGAATACAGAACGCGCCATCACTTAAGAACTTAGCAGTTAGGAACTTGAGCCTCAAACAATCCAAAATCTAAGGACTTGGCTGTAAGAAAATATGCTCAGTTCCGACGTCGTGTTGAGAACAAGAACCCGCCCATATGGTGTACCAATGCGCATATATATAATAATGGAGCCCCAAAACGTGGCGGCTGCAAGATAAGAACTCAGGAGGCTGGGGGCGACTCAAACAGCAAAAGTTAGTTTTAGATTGGAGCCGGGGGGAGGGAGAGGCCCTCGTGATAAAATGTTTGTACGCGCGGAGGGGGAGGGCTCATGTTTCGATTGCCTTAGTGGTTAGACCATTGAACAACGTCCCGAGAGGACGCATCAATGTTCCAATAGGACCGATCACGGATGGCAATCGTTCCTTCCCACTTCGAAGTACTTTGTCAAAGAGGCTAAAAAATGTTCTCCCTAAATTCGCCGATCTACCCTATCGATATCTCTTCCCGCCTTTTCAACCCACTTCCTATACCCAGTACAGCTGCCATCTTCTCCTGGCAATCCATGCTTCAAACACCTCCCTATACCTTTCCTTCTACATGTCCAACCCAGTCATGTACATTTCCCTGTCCTTGTCGCCCAACACGGACATTTGGCAACGACGTGAACCCGGTCTTCGCACTCGGAGCCTCATTCACATTTGAACTCGTCTTCATCGTCTCCCTTCCTGAATCTTCGTCAACGTTCTCAAAGGCCGTTTTCCCCAGTCCTAAATTTGACCTTCGACTTTCTCCCTGCATCCATTTGTCCATGTAGGTACCTATACCTTCTTTCAACATCCGTACACATTTAGACCCTCCTTATCCTTGGATCATTTTGCTATGTTGTGTTCTCTCTCGGCGAAAGAAGCAGATTTCTTGTTCTCGAACCCCTCTAGACCTACCGTTCGTTTCCATTGTATCAACCTAATCGATGTTGAACTCTTCCTACGCCATCTTCAAACTATGTGGGATGATACCTCCATTTTTCGTGTTTGTCCACTTCGCCCCCCAGGCTTCTCTCGGCAACCTCTCCTCTCCCACATCGTACAACATACGGTCTACTTGCCGTTTTAACCTCCTTTCGTCTCTTCCCGATCGTAGGAGTTGGATCCGAAGGGGGGCATACTCTCTCTCATGTTTTGGAAGCCTTAGCGGTTAGACCGTTGACCACGCGTCCTCGACAGGACGGAGCATTCCTGGCTATTACATTCGTCAAACATCTCTCCCAGCTAGCTCAGTGACGTACATTTCCCTCTCCTTCTTGTACCACGGACATTCCGCAAGTACATGAACATGGTCTTCGCTCTCGGAGCCGCAATCACATCTGAATTTTTTGTCTTCATCGTCTACTTTCCTGAATCTTCGTCTACATTCATTCTCAAAGGCCAATATCCCCAGTCCTAGGTTTGACCTTCAGCTTTGTCTCAAGTGGTGGCACGTTCTATAATCGAGGAAGTTCGAGACACTTGCCAATGAGCGCTGAAATCCGTCGCGGTAAAGTCATGGTATCCCGCAAAACAATCAAGCAAAGGAATGGCGGCAGAGTGTCTTGGAGCCAGCTTGCAATAGGTACCGACCGTTGCACCGGCCTTTACCGTCGTCCGTGAAAACGAAGTGCCCACCACAATACCCAACTATACACGTACACCATGCCAGATTCTCCGCAACGTCGAAGGTTCTCCTACGTCTCTGAAAAGCATCACCCATGGTTGGAACGCTTCGATTGTGTGGGTGTGTGGGCATCGGGAATCCTAATTCGTACCCGAACCGGGTCTGTTGCTACGGTATGCAATTTTCTACCACGCGTGTGCTGTCAGCACCTGTGGCATGGGACCAGAGCGACACAGGAAGGCCGCAAGCACGCTGACCTGGATAATCCCTCCGATCTCTCGGAAAGGAAGTGCTAGGCGGGTGTACCGCGGCCTCGTGCGGTAGTTCATGGGGTCGCTGAACATGTGCATCTCCTCCGCCGGACACTCGAGCATTCGCTTGACGTCCCGGCTGTCCACCAACGGCGGGCGGGACGTTTCCTGATGAAATGAAACACGTTTTAAGAGAAAAGCACAACAACATGTGGCTACTTTGCAAGAACGGAGAGCTGGAGAAGGTCGGTGAATAGCACGAGGAAATACGAGGTGTGCAAATGGTCAAACTAGATCTTACAGGAGGCCAACTATAATACGTCTTGGGGAAGCGATTGCTATGTTGCTTTGAATGTCGAAGAAGGAGAAAGTCCGGTTGAACCAAGCAAATAGGGGAGGGAGTGAACGAGGGAGATCGATGAGGGTTCTGCGGCACACAGACATGAATAGCGCAAAATAATAACGGTACAAACAAAGGAAGTTGCTTTACATAGATGCGATGCACTTCTTGGATGCAAGACAATATGCAGCTTTCCTCGAGCAAACCCAACTCTTCCCAGGCCCAGGCTCGCCTCGATTGACAAACGTCAGTACCCCTACAATGACGACTGCGAACACTTCAAGCTTTGATGCAACCACGTATGTGGCGCATGCACGTTGACGTGGTCGTTCGTAGATTCTGAAGGTTCTCTCATCGTCTCAGTTTCGGAAGCCGAAGCCCATCCTTTCCTCGTATCCCCCCGACTCCAACGCACCCTAAGAGCATCCCTTCCTTCTTTTCATTGAGAGTTGCGTTGCGAGGGGGGGCATGTGCACACCAGTGCGCCATATGGTAAAGTCTATGACAAATCCGTCTGGGTCTCACCACGCTCTCATTCCCGCTAGAAGGCTAATGGCCGAACTGTTTGCAGGGGGGAGCAACCGGTGCACGGCCACATCCCTCAGTTCACGCTTACCATGAGGTACTCGCGTTGATCTCGGATGATGTGCTGCCTGCGGTGAGAGTAAAGGAGGTCGCGCAAGAACCTGTCTCTCACGGCTATGTCCACCAATCGCCGCCCCCGCCGCCCGTGCTCCTTCGAACGCATAAAAAAGAAGCGTCATTTTAGTTCAATTTCACGTTTTTTTTGAAAGACATAGCTCACAGCCTCAATCCGTTATTTGCTTGGTGGGTTCTAGGTCGAAGTTTGCATATTTTGAAGCCGTAGAATTTCAGGCGACACCCAGCAGGGTGCATGTTCTTTTTTGTGTCAATCGCATGTTTGTTTCTAAGATCTGCGTGTTGTTTGCTTTCCAGCCATAGAAATTCGAACGAAGATGAAGCAGCGCACTGCGTTTGCACCTACTGAGCGCCAAAGCAGGCATTATGCTTCTTCTCCTTGGCTGCAGTTTCCGGCTAGGGAGGAAATTCTGTTCGGTGGACAGACAGCTGACGCCGGCGCCTTGTGGCTGATATCTAAAACGGAACAAACAACCAAGTCCTCGAGGAACAGTGCGAGTAGTCCCGTGAGTGATGCTCTCTCCGCACTCGACCTGTATGAAGCACGGTAGCTGTTGTGCTTGCCGTGTAGTGTTGATTGCCTAGCTTCACAGAACCGATGGAAAGCTGGGGGAATCAATGCTCGTCACAATTGTTTTCATTGGGCCCAGGCGTCCGGAAGGGTTTGAACACTTGTGGCATCTCTCCGTAACAATAAAGCAATCGGTCACAAGCGAAGTTTCTTATTCGCATCATCTGGCGGTTTCTGATCTGTGACATAGGAAGGCGCACAAGGAGAAGAGACAGAAAAAAAACGGAATGGGGGGACACAGGTGGCGGCTTCGGCGTGTTTCTCCCTCCTGTTGGTTGTCGCACACATGCCATCCCAACCATGAATCGCATCTACCTTGGCCTCGGTCGCGTCCACGGGAAAGAGAAAACAGCAGGACTACACTTCTGTTCGAACAACGTGTTTGTGTGCTCGCTGTTGGCATGCTCACCCTGAGAATGGCCTCGCACTCCGCCTTCTCAGAACGAGCCTGCTTGGCTGTGTCAAAGACGCGCCCCCCGCCACCCCCCTGATGCCTGCCTCCGTGCTTGTCCCCGCTGGGTTTCGCCGTTTTCTTAGGGTTCCGTTTCGCCTGCCTTGCTTGTTGCTCCAGCTTGAACGCCTCCGCGCTATTCTGAATCTGTCGTTTTGTTGTTGTTCGGTCGTGTTGCACGATATTTCACCGGATTACCGGACGTTTGTGGTACCTCGAGTGTGATTACTGTACATTCCAGGGTCGTAGTCGAGAGTTGCAAAAACGAGGCAAAGCCGACCCATACCCGTTGCGGTGAAGGTATCAATTGTTCATTTATTCTGGCGTGTCTTAATGCGAGAAAGGTCCCGTACAGATCGAAGGGAAACCATGACTGGGTCAATTTCTCTTACGATGGGGTGGGTCGGGGAGAGTAGTTGAGAAGAGCCAGCTGCACGCCACAACCCTGCCCAACAAATCGGTCACGACCCAGTTGTTTTCGTCACCCTAAACTTCACCCGTATCACACCCTTGGCTTAACAGATTTTTCCCCACGAGAAAGAAGTGTCAAGACACCTCGCAACACAACAAGACGGCAGGCCGTTACAATAGCTTTCGACAAAACCATACTAGAAAAAAAGTGATCCGACGAACCAACTCTTGATGACGTGCAGCGAGCTACTACCGAACCTTGATCAACCCGACCGCGAGTTTTCGGATGTGGGAGAGCTGCTGGACGGTAGATGCGGCGCGAGACTCAACAGCGGCGCGCTTGCTGCGACGCTCGCCAAGGATGTTGCCCTCCGTCCTGTCCCACAGCAGCTGCAGCAGCAGGAAACGCGCCTACGGGAAGCGCGGGGGCGGGGGGGGGGGAGGGGGGTACTGAGCATCACCATTCATGGATTACTGTGGAGACTACAGTAGTGTTGGATATCGGTTCACCCATTCACCAAAAGTAGCGGAAATGGGGCACGTCGGGTTTAAAGTGACCGAGCAGGGGTTGGTGGCACGAAATGGCAAACGCCGGTAGATGGACAGCCGACGACGGCAGTCTGGAGTTTTGGTGTCGCCTCTCTTCCAAAGCCAGTACCTGCGTGCAGCAGATGAAGCCGCGAACCATTCGCTTCAGTCGGATCGTCACGTGCCTGTCGTGAAGCTTCTTGGCCCTGTGGGCGGCCCACTCGTCGCTCCTCACGGTGTTCAAGCGGGAGATAATCGAGTCGGCGCCGCCGGCTGAGGACGGTGATCTTTTCAGCGCCGAGCTGGGGGTGTTGGAGGGGACGGGGGCAAGGGGTTCGCGCGTGGTATGTTGTGGAGGAGCAGGGCGAGGAGACTGCGCCGAATGAAAGCACAAGTCAACGGCCGGGGGTGACTACGCACGTGCAACAATCCATGCACATCTAGTGGGAAAATTGGTGTTACAAAAATCGAGGGGGGCATGTTGGTTGGGAGGTTGCAATGGCGTTGTTCGTTGGAGTACCGGGGCTGGCAGGTGGAGGCCTTGCCGGTGGGGGGGTTGTTGCCTTTCGTGCGCTCGGTCTAGGGGTACTGCAGGTAGAGCTGATTCTTAACCTTGTCGGGCCGTTGTCTCCGTCCCACGCTCTCTTTGTGTCTGTTCAAGCAGTTATCATGACTTCCACGCGCTATAAGAAGTGGCAACACCACGTACAGGGAGCGTTTTGTGTGTAGATACTGTCATGTGAGTACTTCAAGATATGAAATACTCTTGGATGCTCCTGGCACCCCCAAACCTTGTGTGGAGCGTCCATATGCCAATCAAGGAGCTCGCCGTAACGTGTTCCGCTGGGAAAACATCTTCTGCCTCTGTCAACAGCAGATGTGTATCACGTTCAAGATGTTTTCGTAGCCTTGGCAGCAAAATACCTTTGGTGATGTGATGGTTCTGGTTCATCTCGCTTGCCGTCGCCGTCTCTGAGCGTCACTTGGCTCAAGTAGTCTCGGTCGCTCTGATCTCCCAGCCATGCCTCATACTTGGACGGTTGGTTGGGCAGCATCGGGTGGGATAGGGGTCGGCTGGATTGTTTGATTGGGGGAGCTCGTAGTGTCAACCGTTTTCCTCGTGGGTGGCCGAAACAATGCTGGGCTTGTGAAAGACATATACGTCCGTCACAAGTGAGTGATTGCATCGTCTTTCCTAGCACTGATACAGCAGTCTCCAGCACGTCAATGATACACGCATGCGGTGGAACGGTGTCGTGACGGCGCGGTACCTGAAGGGTGCTGCGGAATGCTCTTTGGACCGTCACAGCAGCCTGCACGGTACGGTATGACGCGGGGTTGGGGGCGCTCTTGTTGCTGTTGATGTTGATAGTCATGTTGTTTTTGTTCTTTTCGGTGGCGTTGCCGTTGTTGCCGGCACCTCCGTCAAGTGTTGTGAAGCGCTTCGCCCCTCGCACGGATACCGAAGCCGCCACCGATGCGTTGTTGGGGACCCTCGCCTTATCAAGGGCACGATGCGATTCACGGCGGCGGGGGCGACAGAGGGGGTCTGTTTATGAGGAAACTTCTCAGCTTGTGGAGCGTACCACCACGTTTCAGTCGGAGGAGACGCCCCCCTGTCCCCGCCGACGTTTCCGATTGCCTCCCGTTTCGAAGCTGTGTACGCATCGCGAGCTTGCATATGTATTGTCTCTGTTTGCCGTAAAATATCATGTAACATCAACGTTACCCTGATAGATGCTGTCGTACATACTCGACGCTAACGAGGAGATTTCGGAGGGGAAGTTCACATGGCACCCTGATTTTCTGAGCGAGCGGCTAAGTTTTACCGTGCTGCAGTAGTCCACAGTACCAGATCCGTTTGAGCAACGAAAGGCTACGGAACGTTCAAGCCTATTGACATACGTAGCAGCAGCCGGCGCGAAAGATACTCGCGTGTATCACTACCAAGTGCCATCGATCGCTTGAATGAGACGTCTCTCTCTCTCTTTCTGTTTCACCCCACCCCCCCTGCTCCACTCTTCCCCCAACACCAAGACATTCACTCCTTCCCGCCGCAATCGTAAAAGGTGCCAAGACGAGCATGCCATGCGTTCATCTTCATCCAGAACTGAACTGCAGGGATGTCTCTCTCCTGAATTCGCCGCAACCCCAGGACTACGCAATACCTCGGCCTTCGCCCGAGCTTTGACCTGCCGGGTCGCTTCCGTCCTCCTCAAATCGTCCAGCACCGCCCGCCGCCGCTGCACGGCGGCAAACCTGTCCCGCCACGACGCCGGATCCCGCGCTCCCCTTCCTCCTCCCCTTCCTCCTCCCCTTCCTCCTCGATCTCGTGCCCCGCTTCGGTCGAAAAGGCCCCGTTTGTTACAACGTGTGGCGGAAGTCAACACGTGTGGTGTTTGCGGGGCCGTCGTGGAGGCGCCGGCGGCGCCAACGGCGGTAGCGGCGGCTGCCTTCTTGATGGCGTACGCACTCTTACTCTTGCAGTCCGCGCGAGCGTACCTGGTCAGAAAGGGGGCGGCGAGAAAGAGGGTTGCGAGGGAGATACGAGGGGGGGAAATCGTTCGCTGCTAACCACCATATTTTTGTCGATTTCCACTGCTGATCGTGATTTGCTGTCCGCCTCACCCCACCCGGTCGACTGTTTCTTTTTGCGAGTGAAACGTTGCTTTGTCCTGCTCTGGCTAGACGCAATCGAGCGGGGAGGCACAATGGCAGGTAGGCCATAGCAGTGATGCGAAACATGCAACCCATTGTACGCAGTACAGTGGAATTGATCGAGGTGCTCACTTGACTGGCCCGCCCAAAAAAGGTTCTTTGTGGCCACTGATAATCATTTTTGCAGCGACATCTTCCCAACTGCCCTGCGTACCACACCTTCCTCGTAGGCAGTCGAGCTGGGGCGGTGCGCTACCAGTAGGCATCACACCCTCGTTCTCCGCCGTCCCCGCAACTGTCCTGGTGCCTACTTCCCTTCCCCGGTCGCTCCGGCCGCGCGTCTCCGTCCTCGTGTCACTCCCGCTCCTGTCGGCGCTCTCCCTCTGCTCCGTATCGTCGTCGTTGCCGCCGCTGTCTGACTCGGTGGCGCTGCTGCTGCCACTCCAACTGCTAGTCTCGGGCACCGTTGGTGCTTCCTCGTCGTTGCCGCTGCCCCCCCCGTTGTCCAAGAGCGCGGCAGGACTGGTGCCTTTGTTGGCTATGCCGTCAGCCAGGAGAGGGCTACCGCGAATCGCTGACATGGATGCGACGCCGCCGCCGCCGCCTTTAAGCTTGCTGCCACTGGTGAAGCTTGAATGCTTTCCACCGGTCGCACGGATATATCCGCTGACCTCTGCGTGGCTCAAGACTGTCGTGAGCTGGCGAGAGAACGGCGACAAGAAGAACATCAACAACCAGCTCAGATCATCTCCCTGCCAACGATTTTGGGGGAGAATTGGAAGTCGGTGGAGTGGAAACCACCCTCACTCCTCGAACATTGTGGAAACCGTTAGGAACGCGACGGATAGATGAACAACTCTCCGACAATACTCTTCGCACCGCATACGAAACGTCACGCGACGCGGAGCAAAAAAACTCGGTACCAACTCCACAATCAATCAGCGACCAGAAGAAGGCGCTGTGCATATGCGAAACACCGCATCTACTGGACCAGTTGTGTGTACCGGCAAACCGCGCACTCTCCTCTGAGACTTACCAGAGTTTTCCGCCTTGAGTCCTTTCCCTTGAGGCCTTACTTTCCGCCGTGCTTCGTTCTCACCTTGGAGATATCAACAACGCCAAGATGTTCCGAGCTGTCGGTAGAGTCTTCGTGGACGCTGTCCGCACCGGCCCGGCAGGAGGCGTTCCCATAGCGACCCTTGACCCCGCCGTAGCCCCCCGCGGCAGAGCCACCCCCCCCGTCCTTGTCGTCGCGCACGGAATCTTCCCCTGTCTCTCGTCTCCCGGGCACCGCAGGACGCAGATCACGAGGAGCGCTGCCGGCTGATGAGCAGCGGCGAGGTAGACGGCTGCGACGCGCGGCATCAATGGCGGTGGCGCGTAGCATGTCCTCTTCGTGACCACCACCTCCCTGCGTGGACGCTCCGAAGGAGTATATTCGGGCCCTTGTCATGCCGAGCTTTCCGTCGGTGTCGGTCTTATGGCTTTCGTCTCCGATGAGGCCGGGAGACCATCTTAGTGGCCCCAAGTCTTCAGCTAGTGACCTCTTACTCTTGGAGAAGGAAGAGGCTATGACCGCAGCTGTTTTCGGGCGTGCCTGCGTTAAATACCGGGGTCAACCGATGAAAATAGTCAATAGCAGCGAGAGGGACTAGCTTAGCAGCGGCGGTGGGCCGTATAAATTGTATGAACAGATCTGGCGATTCCTTTCTTCTCCAAGGCAACCGGGGGATCGTTGCCTTTGCGTGTTGTACTGGGCCTGTTTCTCAATGAACACCCAAGATGTAGCTATCCGCGTCGTGGACACCTGGTCGGCGGGATACATGGGATATGCCCTCGGAAGAACGGTCTCCCCGACGGACAAGCGGATGGATATCTAACCCTGAAAACATGCTTCACCTTCAACCCATGCTCCATTCCCGTGGGAATCGCCGGCGGACACCGCGCGGGAAGTTCCCGATGATTCCATGCCGTGCTCGGCCGTGGTCGTCTCCGTCGTTGCTCCCCGCTCGCCCCCGAGGCCGCTCTGCGCCTGTCGGCGCCGGCACCACGCGAAGACGTCGCCGGCGCCGAGCCGCGAGGAGACGCTACCCGAGGGGCGTGCCCGTGCGAGCGTCGATCCACGACTGACGTGCCTGGGGCCGAGCCAGCCCTCTTGGCGGCCTCGGCGGCCTTCTTGCGCTCCCCCTTCTTTGGTCTTCCCCGCAAGCGCGCCTGTTTGGGTGTAAGTACGCGTTTACACGAAAAATAATAATGGTGGGTTGGTGGTGTACCGCGGTCGCCCTGTGTGACGGAATTTTGCCCGATGCCCGACGGAGCGTTCTGATAGGAAACAAACGTGCTTCACCGTTAAACGCGTGTGAGCGCGGTGTGGCCAAAGAAATTGTTTGTTCCACGAGAGAATAGAACGGACACCATGGCCAACACAACCGCCGAGGTATTATTTTCTCAGGAAAGGGATCGTTATCCCGGAATTTACCCCCGCGCCGCAGAAAAGCCTCTGTCTGCAGGCGCAACCTTTCGCGGTGTCTGGTTGCCCTTGTTCGTTGTCATGCCATATTCGAAGAGATGCAGAACTCGTTCCTTTTCTGGTGGGGGCAGATAGTGCTTAACCTCGTGATGAGCAGCATCTCAAGAGCTTATCCGTCAGCTCTCGCAACATGCCAGGGCAGACTCTTTCCCTTCCGAGAATTCTCAAGACTAGTTGGGGGATGCTGGCGAAGAATCTGGATCTGGAATAATGCAAACTGTGTGGACTCTTCAGAATTGGGCGAGAAAGTATGTGTATTTGTTTCTCATGTGGTATCGCCAGGTCGGCAAGACTTCGTCTTCTCACAGCCAAACGAGTTTCGTGAGGCGTTCTTCGTTTGCCCTAAACCGAAGATAAATTTCACTGCGCGCGCAAACAACTTGATTGAATAGAGAACATTTCGATCCTGCATCCAAAGCTATCAGTCCACCTTCCTTGGCGAATAGTTTCGCTTCACATGGTGGACATGGTTTTCTCAGAAGATTCTCATCGAAAACGTCAACGGAACAAAGGTGTTGTCCAGGAGCCTCCCAACGACGTTACCGCATGATTCACAGCAATTTGGATGGCGGTCATTCTTTTGCAGGCCAGGAGGATAGCCGTACACGCAACCCGGTCTGATAGAGCGTCGAAAATTTTAAAACTTACCATCATGGTGTGCTGTAAAACATCGACCACCTCTTGTATCTCCTCCGCGCGCTGGAACGACATCGGCCCATCCCTTCGCGTCGTCCCATCCGTCAGCCGCGCCCGCGCTGTCTCCGCCCGACCCCGGCTGCTGCCAGAATCTACGCTCGGTTGGGTCTGATGTTCTTTGTGTTTGATGGCTGGAGCGGACGCAGGCCTGATGCGCTTCTTCTCGGTGAAAGCCTGAGCAATGTTACTCCAACTGCGGGTTTTTTGGACGGCGTGCGGACGGAAGGAGACGCTGTGGGGGTGATGCAGCAGCTTCAGCAGTGTTGTCCCGTGGTAGATGTTTTTCATGTACGAAGGCTCTACATATTGCGACGACTGAATCAAGCGCCCGGCCAGCGCAGCAGACACAATATACTGTCAGTACGAGAGTAACAAAGCACAAGAAAGGGGTACACTCATCGTATGAACCAAGAGCCGTTCTCAAAGCTCACCAATGTTAGTGAAAAGTTGTTTGTGTAGCAGAGGGGTGTCCGTCAAGCGATCGACATGGAACGACGGCGACGCAAGCACAGATGACTGAGCAAGAGAAAGAGCAACTTCGTGAGGTCTTGCCTATTGCGATCGTTGCGAGAAATCGGAAATTTCGTGTTGTGTTTGACGATAAAGTTGGCGTGTCTCGGCCCATAGTCCGCCGCCAGCTTCGCCCATATTGACGACGTTCCTCTGTCCGCCGCCTGGCGCCTGCCAACCTCCTCGAGGATGTAGGCGGGGGTGTCTCGCCCGAAGAGACTGATTCCATCTGTCAAACGAATATGAACCGGGGCCACCAGCAGATTCAGTGGTGATCCGCCAAGTAGTGTAATGAGCGGTCCTTGACACAAACGCTTTACTGATGATAAATCCCTTCGAGTAGATACATGAAGCGTTCCAACTTCGCAATTCTCGCTTTCGATTGGGCACCACCTCAGAGGGAGGCGGTGCAACTTGCTCTGTAGCCGTAGATCGTACCGCAGTTTCGTTAGTTCTTGCATTTTTGCCGGTATCCCACTTATTGGCTGTCTCTCACAGCGCCTATCTGCATGTCAACCCGGGGGTTAAAAGGTTTCGTGAACTTTTTGTTCCCTCGTCAACAACGGCGTCGAGGTTTTTACCCACACAATCAAACCGCGCCGCCCTTCGGCCAACGATCTTGTGTGTGCCTTTAGCCCACGAGGGTGGAGAGGGAAAAGTATTCTGTACAGTTGGGAGCACGCACACAACAACATCATCCCTGCCCTTGGTAAAGTTGAAGAGGACATTCCGAACTACATGGCTGTTCTAGTCGGACCCTCAGTGTTCCTTTGTTCCGTTCATCGTGAGGTGTGTGCCTTATGGAGCAGGGTTTTACCCATCATCGACCGTTTGGTTGTGAATCTTCGCCATCGTTCTTGCCATATCCTATCGGTATACCTGTTGCGCGTGGAGGGCGCACAGGTGCATAGCCTATCTTTCAAAAGCAAACGTCGAAAAGTATGTCCGAGCGATCCCTTCCGACAACCAACAGGCTGCCTGATTCAAAACACGTGCGTATGATGACTTACTGCGGTAGACTGCGCATGTACACTGCTGCAGACCACTGCAGACTTCAAAAGTAACACATGCACATACTGTACACAAAATAAGTTACAGTTGTGGTGCAGCATATGCGCGTCTACACTTTTATTGACCGGGTCGAGAAGGAGAGTGTTGCCTTCGCAGCTCGTGCATTGAGACAACGCACTCAGACGACTGAAACAACGTGCGCATATTCTGGTGCCGTAGTCGAGTGCGTACTTGGTGTATCTTTTACATAAGCCTCTCCCGGTTGGTTCTATGCACCTTTCAGGTTGCGCTGGTACGGATGGGCTTGATCGCAATGCTTCCGCCGGGTAGCCTGTAGCGACATTTTTCCTTCGGCATCTAGGAAACCGAACACCCTCCTAGACCGCCGTGCACGCGCGAGAGAGCAGTGGAGGCAGAGGACAGCGACCAGCGACCAAGATTTGACAACACTCGCAGTCTCGCAGTAGCAGAAAACACGCACCAACTGGTTCTCTGCGGTACAAAACAAAACGGTTTGACGACACGACGGTTTCGTTTTCCAGTTTGTCAGTTCCTCAGTAGTCCAGACGTCCTTTCGATGTATCTGTACACGGACTCTTTGGTTCTTCATGATTTTGCTCTGGTGCTTGTGCTGATACGTGTAGACACAGCAGTCAGTACACACGCGTGTTCTGGAAACGATGCGCTTCTCCTGAGGCTACCTGCTGTAAACAACGATCGTGTCCGCAATAAAGAGGGCGGCACTCGTTCGTTTGGTGGCATCACTTACTCGCTGTGATCCTGAGCGCTACCCAAATGTGGAAATGTCTCCACGACGATCCTGGAACGTCAAAGCTGCTAAAACAGATTTACGGAGGGAATCGACCAGAAATATCTTACCCGAAGGTATAGTCTATTAGAACAGTTTTTCGCAATGCTTTTTCTTCACCGCCCGGGCTTCGATTGACAACGGGGTGTTCCAGATTAAGTACACACATGTAGACTTGTTCATGCCCACCTGTCTCTGCACGAATGATACCCTTGCGACTCACTACCATAGCACGCGTTCTGTGGTCAAAGTCACAGCAACCCTATTGCATAACCAAGCGCACTAGTCAGTACACAGCGTGCCTGTTGCTGGACATGATGTTAGTTTCCCGCCATATGTTTTTATTATTATTATAGTCTGCAAGCGCGCGAGTGTGTGACAAGGATGCACGTTGCGCCGTCCGTGGGAACTTGAAAGTGATCCTTAGATAACGTCAAGGATGTTCGGTGTCACCTACGTAAACAAAAAACGTTAGTGCATTTGAGTAGATATAGACTAATAGCCTAAATCAATACCATGAAAAAACAAATAAATCAACTGTAGTTTTCTCGTATACATTTGCATATACCATACAGTAGGCTTTCTTTCATGATCTGATAAAAACATTCTTCTAGTTTGCTACCTTTGGTTTCGGGAAATGTAGGTAGATCATAGGATATAGTTCAGGGTGGCTTTTAATATGAAGACAGCAACCACGGTGCGGTCTTGTACATTCGTAGAAGCCTGAATCGGCAGGCCACCAACATTGCTGAAACCGTTACCTAATAGGCGTACCAAAAGAGCATTACAAAGTGCCGGAGTCCGCCTCGCAGGTGGCTTCTCGTTTCTGTGGGATGCTGCCTACCCTTGATGTGACTCTCTGTACATGGTTTCAGCTTGGACAAATGCCTGCTTAGTCGGTAAAAGCCGGGCGTGTTGTGTCCAAGAGTTTGTAGGTCCAGCTCGACGATCATGAAGACGTCAGCTGTACACGATCATGAGTGCCGCTCCCTGCTCCCCCGGCCTTGCCTACTTACCTGTCGTCAAATGACCTCGTTGGGTGTGCACGGATGCGTTCGTATCTATCTCGTGTTTACCTGGACCTCCCATAAGTTGAGGACGGCCGTGCCAAGGGAAAATCTTCCTCCCGAGTTCAAGGTTGCGCGCAACCATGGTAGTGGCAACACCGGCAGAAGCGCGGCAAAAAAACCCGATAACATTGTTCGGGTTCCCAAATTCAGGTAAGGGATTGTACGAAGGTGTATAGTACCGACTATAATAAAAGTCAATCGACGGATACCCTGGGGATCAGGTCCTCCAAAAAAAATGCTTTTTTTTCGGTGGGTGATTTGCTTTGTTTTGTTTTTGTCTTCTCTTACACATGTAGGGTCACTAAATACACTGACTGGTGGTTTAGGGGGTTGAACAGGTGCCCCAAGAGCATGGGTGGCGAGAAAAATCAAGCAGTTAGTGGAAGGTTCCGGATAGACTACAGTACAACGAGGTTGATGTTCCGGGCGGTGGGTTGTGGGGATACACGGAATTATTGCAGCGAAGGGTGCTGATGATCTCGCTCAAGGGGTAACCGCCTCCCTCATTCCTGCCAAGGGGAACGGTTGGCGCACAACCAGGCATACGCGGTTTAGTCTGATTTCGATCCCACATGCGCCGCAGCAAAAACCGCCGCATAATCTCTTGCCGTCGATTGGTCGTTTGCATCTCCGTCTTGTTATTTCTCGCGAAGAGGGGCACGGTCCGACGGCCCTGCGCCGATCGACTCCGTCGTGACGCGGCGCAAGCGGGCGGGTCGGATCCATCAAGAGCAAGCGGCAGTTCGTGAGCGCGTGGAGCACTACCGCCCGCCCTACGTGAAGGAAGTCGGCGAATGCGAGAAATCCAGGTGCTTGTCTAGATCCCTCTAAACGACGCTATCTATGAACAACTGTGATTGATGCGTTTCGTACGCACTTTTCCTTATAGCAGAGCAGCAGTTATCTATTGAAACATCGAAAACCTAACCGGTGGGTGTGCTGAATAGGGCCCCGTATCAGGTTTCAAGCACATCAGGGGTGTTGGAGTAGGCAGAAGACGGTCCTCGCCGTGAGTTGAAGGATGCGCGGGCCCGTGTCGTCCTGCTGCCGTCGATGTGTCGCAAATGGTTTAGATTAATCGAACATATCGAATAGGAATCTCGCATAAATACCAAGTTCCATCCACAAGTTTGCCTTCCCTTCGCGTAGAACACTAGACTGGACCTGTGAACGTAGGAATCAGTTGTTGAACCTCTTGGGTGAGAAAAACCATAAGCACGGGCGCCAGGAACAACCCTTTTTGGTAGACCTAGAAAGAACCTTATTTGGAGGTGCTTACAGTACGCAAACAGTAAAACCTGCCATTCTTGTGTGCAAGGTTGGCGGAGAGGTTTGAGTTCGGGGGCGGGAAAGCTCTCCCCGAGGAGATGACTGGACCTGTCATGCCGATTCCATCCGAGGCGAGGTGGAAAGCTTCGGAGGAGAGGCGCATCGCCGGGGCCTTGCGGCGAAGGAAGGGTCTGCCCGATATGGACGATGAGGGTGGTGGCGCTGTTGGTGGCGACAAAGGGTCTGCCTTGCCTGCGACCACCATGTTCGATCAGGTGGGGTTAGGCAAGCAGCTCGCGTTTCTGGGTGAAGGCTAGCGTGGGGGGTTCAACAAGGTTGCGTGATGTTCAATGGGTGTTCCGAGTGTCTTCGGGAGGGTTCAGAAACCTGTCGTTCAAGGCTTGTCATGCACCAACAATTACCCCTACACAGTGAAATGAGCAAAGAGAAATCTGTCGCACCCAACCCCCGCCCGGAACTCCTCAATTTTTGGAATGTTCTTGTAGCCGACTGGAGGACGTGGCGGTAATTGAGAACAACGCTAGACTTGAAGCACGGAGACGATATGCTTGAATGAGAAGAGGGTGGCCATACACAAGAGCGTCCGCGGGCCGACGTGA